TGAAAATAAGAGAAAGGTGAGCTCATTTCAAAACCAAGGATGTTAAAATATTGATAGAAGTTTATAGAATGTTATGAATATTAATGACCACTTCCAGAATTATTTTTGAAACATGAAATTCTAAGAGTAATGAAACTTCCACAACAAATTATTCTTAATCAGTGAAAATACCAAGTCATTCTTTAAATTGGAGAATTAATTGCAAATATGTCAATATCTTGTAGGGAGAGCTCAGGAATCACCAGTTCTTTGTAATTGCTCATATTTGGAAAGTTTTTCTACTCTAGCAATCAGATTTGATGATTCTCTTTTTGTACCTGCCACCTGCATTACTGCCTTCTTATTGATACTGCCCTTTTAAGGGGAGTTTGTGGGTTTTTTGTTAATTCTCTCCAGAAAGACGTTATCAACAGAAAATTCCAGTATATAAAAATAAATCTAGTACTTCACAACTTGTTGTCTACATCTAGGTGGCGTATCAATCTTCCTGATCTCTTCTTTTGTAGAGATTTGATTTATTTTAAACATAGCTGTTTTTATGAGGGCAGAATACAGTGCTCTGGATTTCAGATGATCAGGCAGCCAGCTCAATAATGTAGTATCTCCTGGGAGACCAATTTACAAGTAGCGCGTAAAATAAAACATATGTGAAGTACAGGCTACTCCTGAATAAGGAAACTTGAGAATCTGTAAGCATGGCAAATCAGCTGACCATTGCTATCCTTTTGGTTTTCTGTCTTTAAAATGGAGGTGATGCTGATACTACCTGGTGTCTCTGAAGCACATACTTTTTATGGAGAAAATGGCACTACAGTTGCGAAGTACTAATATACTAACATACTAATAGTCAAGCTTTAGCAGAGGATTCTGTCTGGATTGTGACCAGGATGCAAAGAGATTTCCATTAATAATAAATTGTATGGGAGTTGCTCTTTGCTTAGCAACATCAATGAAATACCTGCTTTCATGTTTGGTAAACTTCCAGTTTAAGTCTTTTTTAAGGAAAAAAACACTTTCATTTTAGGAACAAGTGAGCCTGATAAATGAAGCCTCCCTTCAGCAGTCCAGCATCATTTTTTCTAAGTTCGTTTTAATCCTTGAATTGAACATTAACAAATGGTTATAAATTATTATACATAAAAAAGCAAAGTGAATAGGTAATCTGAGAAGATGAGTTTATCTGTACTCTTGGGTAGTTGCTGCCATTTACTTGCAATCTCACCATAGTTACCATTGTGAGGAGAATAGTCAATCAAAGTTGAAGATATAAAATTGAAAATTGAATTGGAAGGTAATTTTACTTTCAAATGGTTTGCAAATGTAGATGTTAAGTGTGAAATGAATGCAGTTAATGACCATAGCTGGGAGAGTTATGCACCTGCTTATCACAGGAATATTATTATAAATGAGGTTGATTTTCTTGTTGACTACCTCATTTTTCTCAACCTGGTCTCATTACTTTTCTATCACATGTCTGACCCTTAGATATAAATACTCAAGCACAGACATAATAAAAATACATTAACTCCTGTAGTTTTTTCTATGCATCTTTGAAAATCAAGATGTGTGCTGCAGATGTTTCTTGCCTTTCTAGGTTTAACATAGGTCATGCTTTTTGATGACAGGTGTGTTTCACCAGAAGTACTCGAGTGATTTCGTGGGAGTTCTAATGTTCTAGCTCCTATTATCTGAATTATTGTTTTATTTTTATTTTCCAAGGAGCAATGTAACTGGAAAGTCTGAAAGTTACACCAACTCTCAAATAATTATATTTCTTCTGCCAGGAAACAAATTATTTTACAGAATTTTAAGACTTACCTTCTTTCTCCAATTTTGCATGTTCTTAAAATGTTTCACCTACTTCTGCCTGCAGAATATAAATACTTTTATTGTTTTAAATTTATTTGCTGAAATAAATTTAAACTCCTTTAGCTGTGGGTAGAACTGTATCTCTAAGGTTTGCTGCTTTTTTGCAGCACACATACAATCACCAAAAAAAATCCTATCTTAGACTTATATGACAGAGTCTGATATAAATGTGTTTATTTTTATCTAAATGAATGCATGTAGTATTGCACTTTGGAATGTAACTGAGCTGTACATTTACTAATGGCCTTTTTATTCCTAAGGTACCTAATATTTTTCAGGAGGGAGAAAGATAAAACTATTCATAAAAAAATAAATGGTAAAATTTAAACATATTGAACTAATATTGTAAGTGAACTTACGGTTTTTATTGCAAGTTGTTTGGAGATATACATGAGTTAAGTCTAGGCTTCTATTGCTTTGTCGTAACATCATTTAAAGCAACATTCTCTGTTGAGAATTACACAGTTTGAGTTTCAG